TATGATTGAGTATTATGAATGTAAATATGAAAGCTTAGGTGTTAGATATGTAAATGCATTAAAATTGTGGTATGTAAGTAAATGCTCCAAAAAATAATTACAAGTCACCAAAATATGTTCTCAGTTACAACTACAAATCCATATTAAAGATAAAGAGGTACAAGAATAAGTTCAAATTTTACATTCGAAACCAAATCTAATCCAATCTTCGAAATTAAATCCCAAACAAATATAATCCGAAAGAAAATAACCTAATCTATCAAAATAAATTAAATTAAAATCAAAATTAATAGAACAAAAAAAAGTAAAAAAGCCAAAAAAAGCTTGAAAACTCCACTCCATAGTGACTCGATTTGACAGGCCAATGAAAAATAAATCTTTTTTTAGCCAAGCCAACTTGTGTTGCATCAGTATGCTGAGCCTCTCACTAGGATTATAAGTAATAAAATAATTATAGAAGAGTTATCAATCACAGTGGGATTATACACAAGGGCGTATTTAAGAGGAGGACAAGAGGGGCACATGCCCATTTAAATATTACATATTTGTCATCTATTAATGTTTTTATTCTATTTTTATTCATAGAAAATTGTTTAACTTATTTTATTTCTATATTTAAGTTTAATTTATATAATAAAATAGTAATAAAAACAACAACAGCAATAAATTGTACATACATTAACTCAAATAAAAAAATTATTAAAAAAAAGTTGAGGGTGTTCTTTAAACAGTCAGGTAGTTCCCATAAAAAAGTTTCTAGTTTCGCCACTGGTTACACAGAGGGATCAACATTAATTCAAGATCAAAATTAAACTCCCATTTCCTGTTCTAAACGATACAACAACAACAACAACAACAAAGCCTTAATCCCACTATGTGCGTTCGGCTACATGAATCCTTTTTCTCCATTGCGTCCTATTTAGTATCATATTTTTATTTAGTTCTAATAAATTAAGATCATTTTTTATACAACAAGCCCAAATTTTCCTGGCCTACCTCTGCCTTTCTTAACATAAGTTGAATCTAAAACATCTACTCTCCTAATCGGATCATCAGATGGTCGACGCTTAATGTGACCAACCATCTAAGACGATTTTCTCTAATTTTGTCCATCATAGGAGCTACACCAGCCGTATCACAAATATATTCATTTCGCATTTTGTCTCTAAGTGTAAAGCCACTCATCCACCTAATCATTCCTATCTTGGCAACACTTAACTTAGTTTTATGCTTCTCTTTTAAAGACCAACATTCAGCGCCATATAGCATTAAAGGTCTTAGCACCATCTAATAAAATTTTCCTTTCAGTTTAAGCAGTACTTTTCTATCACACAATCCTCCACTTCAACCAACCAACATGAATTCTACTATTAACATCCACATTATATGACCATCGCTTTGAACAGCAGACCCGAGATATCTAAATCGTTCACACCTTTTAATAATTTGATCACCCAAAGTTACACTTCTACCACTAGAGCTACTACTACTAAAATTACATTCCATGTATTTAGTTTTAGTTCTACTCAAATGAAGGCCTTTAGACTCCAATGTAGACCTCTATAATTCAAGTTTTGCCTGGGCTTTTTCTCTTGTCTTATCCACGAGAAGGATATAATCAGTAAAAAGCATACACCAAAGTATATCATGTAAATGTCCGATAAGACCATCCATAACTAAAGCAAAAAGATATGGGCTTAAAGCTGATCCCTAAAGTAATCCACAGAAATAAGAAAATATTTCGTTAATCCTACTTCACTTCGAACACATGTAAATAGCTTTAGTATACATAGTTTTAAAGACTTGAATATAATTCATATCAATACCCTTCTTCTCAAGAACTCTCCAAAGGATATCTCTTGGAACCTGGCGTAAGCTTTTTCTAAATCAATAAAAATTAAATGTAGATTCTCCTTGTTATCTATGAACTTGCCCATCAAACCTTTCAATAAATGTATAGCTTTCATAGTAGACCTATCTGGCATAAATCCAAATTGATTATGAGAAATCCTCGTAATACGTCTTAACCTATGTTCAATTACCCTCCCATAATTTTAAAGTATGACACATCAACTTAATTCCTCTATAATTTACACACTCTTGTGCATACCCTTTTTTTCTTAAAAATGAGGACAAAAATACTTTTTCTCCACTCCTCATGCATCTGTTTTTGTTTTTAAAATAATATTAAAGAGTTTAGTAAGCCAAGAAACTCCCAACTCTCCTAAATATTTCCATACTTCAATTGAAATATCATCAGGTCCTACGGACTTTCCACCCTTGGTTTCCTTTAAAGCCTCCTCAACTTTTTTTTTTACTAATGCGACGGTAAAAATGAAACATTTTTTATTATTAACAGCATTAAGATCACTAATGTCGATCGTATTTTCAGAAACATCATTAAAAAGTTTATCAAAATAACTCATCCACCTATGTTGAATATTTTTTTAAGAAAAACACTTTTTAATTTTCATCTTTAATACACTTTACTTGAGTTAAATCTTTACTTTTCTTTTCTCTTTATTTGGCTAGCTTATACATATATTTTTTACCCTCCATAATATCTAATCCATCATAAAGATCATTAAAAGCAGAATTTTAAGCTTCACAGATTGCTCTTTTAGACTCCCTATGGGCCCGTTTGATATTTTTCTCAATTCTCTAAGCTTTTATATTTAAACCAATTTTTATAACATAACTTCTTATATTTCATCTTTTCTTGCACATTATTATTCCGCCACCAACTATTTTTAATTATAAAATTTTTTTTTCTTATAACTTGTTTAATAGTACTCATTAATGTATCCCACATAGAATTAATTTCTTCATAAACATCTCAAATCTTGAAATCTTGAATTTTGCTCATAAAAATAATTTTACTTGAATCAGCTATCTAAGGCATGCACAGTCATCTACGATGATGAGTCATAGTATTCTTTATTTTACAACTCTTCATCTTAAAATCTAGAACTAATAAACGATGTTGGGTATTTAAATTCTCACTTGGAATGACCTTACAATCTTTACAATCTTGACGATCTTTTCTTCTCATAAGAAAATAATCAATTTGTGTTTTATTGGATCCATTCTTATAAGTAACAAAATGTTAATCTCTTTTCTTGAATAAATTATTAGTAATAACAAAATCATATGCTAAAACAAAATCTAAAATAGCTCTATCTTCTTCATTAGTCACTCCAAAACTGTAATCATCATGAATATTTCTGAAATTTTCTATCATTCTACCGACATGTCCACTTAAATCTCCTCCAATAAAATTTTTTTCTTCAAGAAGTATCATTTGTATCAAGTCTTCTAAGTCATTCCAAAATTTATCTTTATACCCTATATCTGAACCTATTTGATGAGCATAAGCACTTATAATATTAAAAATCTTAGTATCAATGATAATAATAAGGGCAATAATTATATCTCCAACTCTATTAATTTTTATAACATTATCTTTCAAACTCTTATCTATAATTACACTATACCATTTCTAGCATTTCTACTATACCATTTCTAGTACGACTCTTACCAGAATACCAAAGTTTAAAACCTAAGTTATCAATCTCTTTAGTTTTTTCTCCAACCCATTTAGTTTCTTAAATACATAAAATATTAATATTTCTATGAATCATAAATATCAACTAATTCCATTAACTATCAACTAATTCCATTAACTCAACTAATTCCATTAACTTACCATTGAGAGTACATATATTCCAAGATCCTATCCTAATATTAATTTCATAAGTTTCAAGAGTTTCATGGACTAACTTTTTTACCCGCATCCGTCCGTAATGTGGGAACCCTTGCATATTTGACACTACACTCGGGCGCCGTTGTAGCGTCCTTTGCACACTTTTCACTGTATTCAGACTATATAGCACGTCACTTCCAGGGACGCCCTAGAACTTACACAATAATCAAATGGATTCATGTCATGATTTTTTCGACAAGTTTTGCGCTGGTTGTCGACTACCTAACGCAACCCTCCATTTTTCACATGCGAGCTTGGGACCGGCAATGGCAATGTTTAGCTTGTTCTAAACGATGATTATGAAAAATACTCAAGATAACATAGCTCATTGTAACTTATTTTCAAAAGACATTTTATTAGAAAATGTGATCAATATTGAAGAAAATGAACAATTAAACTAATGAAGTAGAAAAAAAGCGGTTACAGACCTATAAAATAAAAGAACAAGTACAAGACATAATTATCGTCGATATGAAACTAATAAATATAAATCAAGAGTACATTAATATAATAAGTTCAGGTGCCTTTGTTCTATTGTATAGCAAATGCCTATCAACAGGCACATAACTTCTGAAGTTAAAGGGGTGATTATAATATAGAAGTGTCCAGAGAATTTCATGCTATAAAAATAATATTAATGAAGCTCCAAAATGTTAATTTTGTAAATTTGCAATGAAAATTGCTAATTGTTATGTTGTATTAATTTGATTACTGGGCAATGCAAAATTCGCAATAAAGCTCGGGGAGATAAATGAGAAGGTAGACATATTTTTCATAAAAGTAGGAATGATCAAATAATAAAAAATAACATGAGAAAAATTATAGGAGTAATAACAGTTGAATACAAACGGCACTCGAAAAAAAAGGTACGAAAATTAACTTGGGTGATTTAGGATATAACATGTAATGTGAAAAGATTACAAATAAAAATGAATAAACCAAATAAGATATGGCTAGAACTTGTGTAGAAAAAATCTTGGGTAAAGCAAAGAATGAATAATGGACTAAAAAAACCAACCAAAAAAAATTAGAATAAGGCAAATGATAAAAATGTAGAAGATTGTAGCCGTTCAACAAAGAAAGCATAAAATTCATGCAACAATAAGATTTGAATATTCAATTAAAGAAAATTTATGCAATAGCATAAGAGCAACAAGGGGCACAGGTTGGCAACTGAGTATAATGGCTGTTCATAAGTTCCGAAATACGATTCAGTTCAGCTAGCATAACACCAAACCTTGGGTGGCTTAAAGGGATAATCCGGTGGGAAATGAATGTTCACTAAATAAACACCTCCTGCATAAGGACTATCAGGTGGCCCCATTATAGTGGCTTGCCAATGGAACATATCTTCTCCCAAGGGACCTGACATAATTTCACAATGACAGTCAGAATATCCAATAAATAAAAGGAATTAAAAATGTGTTAAAAATAAAATCAAAAGCACTAAATGAAATATTTATGCTAATAATAAAGTTAAAAGCACTAAAATAAGTTTACAATTGTTTTTCCCCTCAGGATTACAGAAAAAATCAGAAAATTCCTAAATACTAAAACATTCATTTGATATTGATTCCTAATTGCGCTAACAAATGAATCTGATTTGTGCATTACTAAGCACAGTTCTTTTAAACACACATCTTTACATAATTCATGACAGATAAGAATCTTTAATGGCCCATCTTTTCTTTTATATAGAGCACTTCAACTAGGATTCATGCTTGCACTAGACTTTTGTCTAAAAGCATTAAGTTAACAAAACACAATCTTTGTCACTGCAGCCATTGTTGTCACAGCCACCATCATCATCATCATTAACCTAATCCTAAACATTTGGGCTTGGTTTTATGAGTTCTCAGGGTTGATATCAAATTTTGCCTTAAATCCAAGGCCAGATCGTACCGGTCAAAAAATCATTTGACTAGAAATGATATAGGTTATTGAATCTCAATACCTGGAATGATTGATGAGGCCAAGGCTGGTCTAACCCTAGACTTGAACCTTTCCAAACTTATCAATCTATTCAGATATAGCATATGATTTTCTGTAGGATTGAATCCTCGGTTGCTTAAGGTCAAAAAATCCTAATCCAGACTTCAGACTTAGACTGCCACGAGGGCAACCCTAGATTGACCACAGGCTCCCAAACGAACCTAAATTAACCCCTAGGCTCATCCCCAGAATCCAAGAAACTCAATTCAACCTAAATAGTTTGTCTCAAGTCAGAATTAGGCCAACTAAATCCTAGCTAACCCTAGACCCAATGGGCTAGGGCCAATTACGGGCTAAAGCCTTCAATTTTCCTATGCAATGGTTCAATACTGTTTGAACTTTCTTTAATTAGCTGATGGATCGCTCGATTTTGACTATGATCCTAAGTTTGGCCAAAAGTCAACCAAACCAGCAATCCCTTAGACCCAATCAATCATTTCAATTAATCTAATTGATTGGTCAAACACCTTATAAAAGGTTCAGATTTGCAAAACCTACATAGAAAAATCCAGATTAACAATTCTACTAGCCCATATCAAGACGCAAGCACGATTTAAAGCCAACTGATATGATGGGACCCAAACTTTGAATATGATATAATTAATTTCATCCATTGATCCCAATGTGTCTATTAGGGTAGGCATGACCTGGTTAAGCCACGGTGATCCTTGCATTAGCCTAATTAGACCCTCGAATATAAACTAACCAAAGTAAATCCATTCTGCCAAATAAGAAAAAACCATCAAATTGGCCAAATTGATTGAACTGGGCCTTCAATTGAGTGTCACTAGGTCGATCATAAGAGAAATAACTACTGATAAAGCTAATCGACTAATCAAACCCAAGTAAAACTAATTGAAAATTATAGAGTCATTTTGGCCAAGTTGACCAAATTAGCTCAAACAAACCTTCCCATTGAATTTCAATGGATCATTCATGTTAACTCAACTAATTAAAAAATGGGTCAATTGAATTGGGCCAATTAGCCCCTTTAAAAGCAAGTCAACCCAATTTGAAGGAAAAGGGTTGGACAGCAAGGAAACAACAGGAAAACAAAAGGATGCTGCCAGGGCGGCTTGCAGCGAGGAAGAATGCGTGGCAGTGAAGCGGGAAGGATGTAGAGGAGTTGGTATAGGATAAACACCACCTGGAGATCAAGATACATTTGAAGCGCTACTTGGAACCTTAAGATACTGTTGACCTCAATTTTCGTGAGGTCTAGTATTCCTCGTAGGAGTTAGGATCTAGCCTTAGGGGTCTTCCTGCGACTATCTTAGAACCTTAGAAGTGGTGCCCGCCTCGTTTTAGTTCGACCTATTTCCGTCCTCTTTTGGAGGTTTCGCGTGTGTGGTATCGACTTCTAGCACTTAGAAGGATGAAACCAACATGAGGAAACCCAAAAGGGATTCCCTATAGGACCTTCCTGAGCCTTAGGGTGGCCTTTTGCACAA